ACACACGACACACACCACACACACACACACACACACACACACACACACACACACACACACACACACACACACACACACACACACACACATATATATATAATATATATATATATATATATAATATATATATATATATATATATATATATAAATATAGCTACTTGATCTTGAAATACGCGTGTATACAATTGACGCTCTCATTTAGCAGTACTGAGTAGGTTATATTGGCTTTTCACTCAATCACTTCATTTGTGAGATCTGTGTGTTAGATGAATTGTAAAGGTATGTGAATGATCTTCGATCGGAACACAATGATATACTATGACATATTCGGGAAGTTTTATATTGTAAAACTTAAAATAGCTCATATTGTAAAACTTAAACTAGCTAGGCCCTCTGATATCGTCAGCCTTGATTGTCACTACAATGGATGTAAACCACTGCGTTGATACTACACGGTACTTCAGCGTATTGGACAGACCCCTATCTCTACATGTTACCCCCATCTCAGGCAGTTCACGTGCTTCCCGCAAGCAGTGATGGGGAATGGGGGGGTGTACCTTCCCTTCATACAGACGCGCAAGAACAGAACCATCGCATACACCAGCCAAATGTTCCCCGTTGCACACAAGCGTCTGCAGCATATCATCCCGAGGTATGTTGGACATGTGTCTTATGCCGTCAAGTCAATTGTGTATAAAGGTCCATACAGACCACTCGTTTCTGATATATTGCTCGACAGGATATCCTTAACCTATCATTTCACGAGCGATCTGATCCGGTTTGTTGGGTTGCTTGCATAGGATTGTGAGTGATTTCGACAACCGCCACGGCGGAGCCTCGAGTACACCCTGCTCTCTGCTCATAGTACAAAGAAAGGTACGTTTTAATATTAGTTATGTAGTTGTTCACGTAGATAACGAAAGGCGTGTTATAAATGTAATTATGTAATTCTTCACGAAAATAACAATAGGGGTGTTCTACATATAAGTATGTCATTGTCCACGCATATAACAAAATGTACGTTATACATGTAATTTTGTAATTGTTCAAGTAAAAATGAAGGGTACGTTATCAAAGTGAATATACAGACGTTCACGTATATAAGCATGTATGTAAGACTATATCACTTCATCTTTGCACGTAGTGTTTAATTGGGAACCAGATGGTATTTGTTTCTTTCAGCACGCCCAATAAATCCAGGTAATACAAAACACCACGAAGTGCCATACCTACCCCTCACACGCAATGAGACTCTGTGAAGTAGGTAGATCTATTTATATCATCGGATGTGTGTGTTGCTGGTGTGTGACACTAGACAAAAGATGGTAGTCATATCTACAAGTACCATTAATGTTGAGCTTACTGTATTACATCCCCCCCCCACCCCCCAGTCCAATTCACAGTGCCATTTCCCCATCGTACTTATTGGAGACTGGTTATGTGTTAACAATGTTATGCTTTCTTTAAAAGCCTTCCTTGCAAGTTTTATTTGAAGACCCAGAGCTTGTGAGCTACATATACCTACTCTATTTATAGCACCACTCTATTAATAGTATAAGTATCCGTTTGAACCCGACTAGAGTTAGCCATAAAATTATCCAAAGTCACTGAAATGAATGAGTGTTCACTCTACACAGGGGCATAGGCTGATAGTCAATGTAGACGAAATGTCAGTGTTCTTCAAGGCTTCTGGATTCAATGTGACAGTGGTAAGTACAAATATTAATATTACAAAATTTCATACTCACATGCAGAAGAATGCAATTGAATAGGATATGTGAGTATAATCAATAGTAGGTATTTATACACATACACACACACACACCCACACCCACACACACACACACCCACACCCACACCCACACCCACACACCTACACACACACACACACACACACACACATACACACACACA